TGTTATTTTGTATTTTACATAGGCCTTCTCTTTTCTTTTCTTTTCTTTTCTTTCTTTCCTTCTTTCTTTTTTGTCAGAATGGATTATTTCAAAAGAGCTGAATTCAACTTCAGATGTTCCTTCTTCTGCTATTTTTGGAGCTCTCAATTATATTTTTTCTTTTATTCATTGAATTATTCAGTTCTAGAATTTCTGTTTGGTTCTTTTTTTTTTTTAACATATCTGGCTCTTTGTTGAATTTCTCATCAGATCATAAATTGTTTTCCTTATTTTTTTTGTATTATTTATCTGTGTTCTCTTGAATCTTACTGAGCTTCTTTAATATCATTATTTTGATTTTTTTTCAGGCATTTTATAGATTTCTTTTCTGTTGAAATTTGTTGCTGGAGAATTATTGTGTTCCTTAGAAGGCGTCACGTTTCCTTGCCTTTTCATGTTTCATGTGTGTTTACATTGATATCTGGGCATCTAATGTAATAGTCACTTTTTCTAATTTTATGGATTGGCTTTCACAGGGGAAGACTTTTTCCTATAGATATATCTATAGTGTTGGTTGAGTAGGGTGCTTTGGCTTTGATTCCAGGTGGGCACAGTATTGTAGTCTCCATATTATTTTTTCAGTTGTAATCAGCCTCAGTGGTTCTGTGAGTTCCTCAGTGGCTTAGGCTGCAGTTTTTAGTTGACACTGTGGTGAAGCTTTGCTGGGGATGGGATGCCAGATGGGCTGGTCCTTGGACACCAGTGCTTGTGGTGGCAGGTCACACATGCTGGTCCTTGGGTGCCTGGTAGCATTTGCAGGTACTATTGGTGGCAGGTCTGGCTGGGCTGATCCTTGGGCCTCCAGCTGGCTTGCTCGGGTGCTGGCAGTGGCAATGATAGGCCAGGTGGGTGGGTGGGGGTCCTCAGATCCCTGGGAAGTTTGCATAGTGTTAGTGATGGCGTTAGCAGCATCAGGCCAGCTCGTGAGCCCCCAAACAGCACATGCAGGTGCCAGCAGTGGTGATGACAGGCTGGGTGGGCCAGTCCTCAGGCCCCTAGGTGGTGGGTATGGGTAGTTGCCAGTGATGGTAGCAGGTTGAGCAGGTCTGTTTTCAGGCTCCTAGAAGATGTGCATGGTCACTAGTAGTGGCAGGCATGGCAGACAATTCCGTAGGCCCCTGGATGACATGCATGGGCCCTGGTAGTGGCAGGTTGGGCAGGTCTGTCCTCAGGTGCCCAAATGGTGCACAGGGGCACAGGCTATAGAAGGCAGGGCAGGCCGGGTGACAGGTGGTGTGGGTCAATTCCCAGGCCCCTGGATGACGTGTGTGGCAGCAGCAGGCAGGGTGCACCTCTCCTCAGGCCCCAGGATGGCACCTGGGTGGGCTGGTACCTAGGCCCCCTGAAGGACATGCAAGTGTGTGGTGGATAGGGTTGCTGTCAGTGGCAGTGGCCCCAGGCCAGTGGTTCTCAGGCTCTGGAGAGCATGTGCTTCATCTCCCTTTTTCCCGGGGGCAGCCTCCCCAGTGCACTGCATTTCCCATTCCCCAGGATGTGGGACACTGCGTGGGCGAGAGTACTGGAGACCTGGCCACACTTCTGGGTCCAACTGGTGTCTTCACACTGCAGCCCTCTGGTGGGATGTGGGGGAATGTTAACAAGGCTCTGGGGATGGGAGACGCCAGGGCTGCTGGGCCCCAGGACAACATGTAGTCTGGTGGAGACTGGGCTGTCAACAGGACATCATGCTGCAGCTGCTTGGGTCTCAGGGGGTGCGTGGGATCCAGTGAAAACTCTCTCTATGCAGCAATGCCATCATGTGGATCCAGGCAGCTCCGTACACTCACCTAAGGGCCTGCAAGGGTGTAGGGGGCTCTCCCATGGCGAGGATTGCAGGAATTCATGGTGGAAACATGGCCTGCTGGGGACCCACTGCTTACCTTTTCTGCACACTGGGGAGTGTCTACTGGCTCCAAGCTGATCCCAGCTGGGCCAGCTGCTTCATTTCCTTCTCCTTCTTTGCCTCCAAGGTTCACTCCCTGCTGAATTCCAGTGTTTTGTCTTAGATGCTCTATTCAACTTGTGATTATCTGCTCACTGTTTTGGTCCTTCTCTATGGAGGAGATGCGTGCTGAGCACCTCTAGTCAGTCGTCTTGGAGCCTAGAAAATTTCTTACAGTAGGTGACTGTATTAATCATGATTCATCTTATTATAAGTGGTAGAGACCAATTCAAGCTAGCTTGTACAAAAAACAAGGCATTTAGTGGTTACAAAAGCAAATCATAATTGGGAGGCAAGATGGCTGCCTAGAGACATTGCTTGCCCAGTGTTGTGGAGGGAAGGCGGAGCACCAGATAACGGAGAGGGGGGAACAGGCACAGCACAAGTGTAATTCAGAGGAGGAGGTGCCAGAGCCTGCCAGGGACCTCACGGTGGGAAATTGTGGAGCGGAGCAGGAAACAGAAAAAGAGAAGAGATCGGTGAGGATCAAAACCAGAAAAGCTTAGAGCCCAGTGAAGGGGTGAGGGGGGACTCTGTCTCCCTTCCCAACACACCTTTGGTAATCAGCAGGCTACTGATTTGCTTGGAAGCTCGCCCACTTTTGCAAGCCCAGGTGCTGCTGCAACCACCAAATTGTGTGGAGACCTGGCGTGATCCCGGAGCTTGGACGTTCTGTGCAGGCTTCCTCCCGGGGGAGGGAGACCGAAGGAGCCGGGGTTCCCTTGGGGAAGAGGGGTGTGCTTCTGGGAAGGTGGACAATAGACAACTGCTATTGCAGGTGAAACAGGCTTAGGTTAGGCACCGAGCCCACCCTAGGCCGCCCAACTCTCAAGGAGCAGAGAAGGAATCCTTTTAGGTGTCAGGACACCCTGCTCCCTGACTGACCAGGCGTGGTGCGTGGCATGCGTTGCTGATGTACACTGTGGCGTATTCAGCAAAGACATTTGTCTTTCTGAATTGATGCCTCTCCTCCTTAGAGCCAAAGGGAGGGTCTTGGTGACCACTTGGTGTCTTGCAGGCCTAGCCTCGTGGGTTAACGTCACCATCCTCCTTTTTTTTCATGTTTCTTTCCTCCCCTTGTCATATTCCTTTCCCAACATAAAAGGGCTCAGATCTGAGCACTCTGCAAATGCACACCCCGATTACAGGCCTTGCTTCTCCTTTGAAGGACACGGCAGCATTTAGCATTTTAAAAATAGTATTTAATAGGTTTGACCCAGAGAGGGAGAAAGAGCCAGTGAGCATGTTAATAAATCTCAGCTTACCCCAGGGTCTGTCTGAATAAAGGCCTTCAAATTAAACTGTTGTTGGGTGGGAAGCGATTTCATCACGTGGGAGAATTTGAATTCATCCGTCCTCCTGACTTTTCTTGGAGGGATGCGATTTTTTTTTTTCTCCCAGTGAACAACGCTTAGTGAATGAGCAGCAAAATGGGTCCACTAGGGTATTTTGGGGGTCACTTGTTCCTCTCTACCTGTGCGGAGGGCAGAGACAGCACCAGCTTCCACCGGTGGCTCAGAAGTTGGGGGGCACACAGGCCAGTTCTGTCACCTACATGTGCCTAGACAGAGGGAAGACAAGTGTTCCTTTGTTAATGGACTGAGGATTCTAGTGCCTGGCTTGGCTCACTTTCAGGGAGGCACCTGGGCAGCCGTCCTGCCCACCGAGACCTCACCCTCGAGTCTTGCCCCTGGGAGACGGTGGGTGGTCTGGTTAAGAGGGAAGGTCTGCGTGAGGGTAGAGAGCTGCTGCCACTCTGGAATCCTTGGAAACAAGTTGGATTATCCAAACAAATAGCAGTGACAAGGAAAAGTATGGCATGCAAGTTTTTGTGTCAAAGCATCGAAGAGACTATTGCCTTGAAAAACAACTTGCATTTTGCCTAGCAGACTAATCACAAAACTTAATAGGTGTTGGAATGCTGAAGGATAACTTCAATTTTTAATTTTCCTTATCGCAAAGCTACCTAATCCTGTGGGCTAGAGAAAGAAAACATGAGAAAAAGAGTCACCCTTTTTATCTTTATCGTTTTAAATAGCTTATTGGCTCCTATGGGGCATCCTTGGCCATGGCAGCACAATTCATTCATTCATTCATTCATTCATTCATTCATTCATTCACTTGCCCAACAAAGATTTTCAAACACCTACTACATGCCTCACACAGGGAGGGAAATACAACTTGGTTCCTACACTCAAGGAGCTCAGCAAGGTGCTGTTGACAATTCCAGGAAAGGCTACCTGTCCCTGCCTAGCCTGGGCATAATGAGGGGATTATTGGTAGTGTAGAAAGAGCAGGAGTTAGGCATGGGAAGAAGAGCAGAAAGAACTTCCAGGGGGGAGAAACACTACATGAAAAGACACTGGAGTGTAACAGACTACGATGCGTTTGGGGAACTCTAAGTAGCTTAAGCAAGCTATCTGTGCCCAGGGGACGTCTTGGCTGTGACTGCCTGTTGGCTCGATACACAAGAAGGAAGGGAGTTGAGAAAAGAGGCGGTCAGCTACATCAAAACAGTCTGCAGCTCATCCTTGACGGCTCTTCCTTCCCTTCCAGCTCCTACCTATTTTAACGTGTGGGAAGATTTCCCAGTAGGGTTGGAGTCAGGGGCCCCTGCCAACATAGATAATTAACTGAAGAAAGTACAAGGAAGAACTAATCTTGTGTTCATTAAATTGATATCAGTAAAACACAGCACCGTGAGGGGGCGGAATGAGACACAAGCGTGGGGAGACCAAGCGTGGGGAGACAGAGTGTGGTCCCGACGGGCATGTGGTTTAGTCGCAGTTAGGGCACTAATTCAAGGTGGTATCTGATGTTTCAAAACAAGCTATGAAAATACGAGGGAGTGATAATAAATGGCAAACCCGAGCAGTCCAGAGGTCACTTTCAAATGTAAAAGCGTTTTTACCGTTTACGACGGTTTTAGGTGAAATGTGAAGTTTTGAAATGAAGGTGAGGATTAAAAGGGTAAGAGGGAGAGACGCGAAGCCAAGATCCCATTATGTTTTCCGAGTAGGTGTCAGAACATCAAGGACAACACCATCGGCATCGAGGAGAATGGGGTCTCCCTAACCTGTCGCTTTCATGTCACCGTCTTCAAATTCATCGGGGATTACGATGAAGTTCACCTTCACTGCGCGGTGTCACTCTGCGACTCAGAAAAGTACTCCTGTAAAATCGTAAGTGCGAGGGTCACGGTGAAATGCTTGGGCTGACTGGTCACTGCCCCAGAGAGCCAGCGCAGGGACCGCAAATGCCAGCTAGCTGAGCGGGAATCGCCCGCAGACGCCGAGGAGCGGACAGTCATCTTTGGTGGAACAATAAGAGGGAGAACACGTGGGAGGATGTTTGCTCACTCCTCTAGCTCTGAAATGCCAACTGCTCCTTGGCTTACCACCAGACCAGGGTTTCTCAAACCTTGACATTATTGGCATGTTGAACCAGATCGTTCTTCGCTGTGAGGGCTGTTCTGTGCACGGCAGCATCCCTGGCCTCCACGCGCTAGATGCCAGTGGCACACTCTCCCCAGTCGCAGCACCCGAAAGTGTCTCCAAACATTGCCAGCTGGCCTGGTTGAGAGCCCCCGCCCTGGAGTCTCAGGGAGCACAGTGAGCCAGGCAGCCTGAATCTGGCGACCCCTGGGCCAAGCTCCGCTGCACTACAGAACCGAACTCCTGGGGTCAGGACGCAGCTCAGCCAAGGTGTGCTCCAGCCATCCCATCTACACCAGGCCCTGAGGCTCTGGAGGGGCCGCTGGGAGGAGGTGACAAACCCATCATCTCTTCATACCAGGCTTCCATCCCCACCACCTATAGCTAAGAGTTATAGAGTTGTCCTTAAGAGTTGACTGTCCTGGTATCCGGCCCCTAACCTTTAACATTCCGGCGTTAAGCTTACCCCACGTTTGCAGAATCAAGATGTGAATTATGGTCAGAGCTACATACAGACGCTGCTGCATCCGTTAGTGTCTGATGAGACATAGCAGTCGTCATGCCCGGACAGGGAGCCTCTTTGACTCTAACTCCAGTGTGGAGAGTATATTTAATTCTGTTTGACATAAAGGCTGGGGTCCCAGTGGGCTCAGTGATCAAGAATGCATTGGTTCTAATTAATCTAAGCAGCGGTAGTGCTTGAGGCCACAGCCACCGCCTCTTGCGGGGGTGGGGATGTGGTGAAGAATAAGTTATCAGCTTAATTGTGTGAAATTTTCCCCCTGGTGTTCTTCTGTCTTGCAGACTTGCCCACAGAATTCCAGGACTGCCACAGGTTACACAAAAGAACCTAAAGAACAGATCATTTCAGTGGGACCTATTAGGAGAAAAAGTATGTATGTTTCCTAAAACACACTATAAATTATTAAAACGATGGGATTGGAAGGCCCAGAAGTGCTCCACCTGTGACGTGGGCCCGGCAGACGGGGACGCTGGTGGTGGGGACGCCGGTTGGAGAGGACCGCCTGCCTCCTTGAAGAGAGCTTCTCGTTGACTTTAAAAAGACTCTACGGCATTGGGGCTGTTTCTTGTCTTCTTCCCTCGTTAAAGCCTTGCCCTGAGACACCAGGTGAAGGGTTGAACTGTGCAGTTAATGTGCCCCACTGCTCTTTTGCAGGGCTGGACTGGTGTGAGGACAACGGCGGGTGTGAGCAGATTTGCACGAGCCGGGTGGACGGGCCCCTGTGCAGCTGCGTGACAGGGACCCTGCAGGCGGACGGCAAGAGCTGCCGAGGTAGGCGCGCCTCCGCTTCCGGGCGGGCAGCGGGGTCTGTTCTCTGGGAAGGGGAAATTCAGGTTCAAAGTGCACGTAGTCAGCAACTTAACCATGAAAATTCCAGAAATGAAGAAGGGAAAGATGAAGGAAAGGCCCATGGAATTATAGTGCCTCTTCTTTTCTTTTTTATATTTTTTTGGTAACATTTTGGTCCCTGCTGTTTCATCTAAAGATAATTAAAAAAAAACAAAAAAAACTATCCAACCATTTAAGGGCAATATATTGACCCTACATCTGCCTGCCACGTCTACTTGGGCTAGAGCTGGGGTTGGGATGTTTGTTCCAGCAAACAAGAAAACTTTAGCACATGGTTTCCCCAATGCCCTGCGAGGTCAGCGGGACTCTCCTAAAGATTGGGTCGATTCTGCCACTTTCCTGCCTTAGTCAGGGCCATTCGGAGAAAGTGGGTTCTTGGCAGTGAAATTTCCTTTATTTAGTCAAGTACTGCAAAGATGTCTGATCCCCAGCAAACAGGCATTTTAGCTCCCATAGGACTTACTATGTTCCTCTCTGTTCACAGCCTCCAATTCTTCAATTGAGCTGCAAGTCTGGATGCTTCTTCTCATCATAACCCAGATTTCATTATGGCATTTTGTCTATAAATCAGGCACAACCTCATAATTAACTCAAGGTTGCTATATAAAGTACTGTAATTTACTTACTTCAACTCCCTGTAGGATAAAAAGTGTGTGCCCTTAAGTCAAAACCTATTCGAAAGTGTCCAGCATCTCAAAGTGATGCCACCTGCCTCCAACGGCCAGAGGTCCGGAAACGAGTGACATTCCAAGCTCCTCCTCCACAGTACGCAACGGGGCTTCTAGAAGCCAGCTGTGGAACGCGTATATCTTGCCCAAATTTCCCAAACAGTTGCCACTAGAACCTTTGGTTCACACAAAAAGCCAGGAAAGGAAAAATATTCTGGTCAGAGAAGTCTGACCGGAGATCTGACCAGAGGACTCTTGTCAAGCCAGCGCTGTTTCTGGATCACAGCTTTTACAGAGCGAGGCCTGTTGGAACAATTTTGAAGTGATGACTGGAAGGAGTGACTCCCTCTAAGGAACCTTTCTGATGTTTGCAAGCGTCTGACCCAAGATATGCATGTGTTGCCCCCTTCTGTTTATGATAAGTCCCTTCCCCACGCACTGTGTCCTTCAACCTTGCCATGCCAGCCTTGGCCACTGGGGATATTGTGGACCTGGGCAGCCCCATCCTGCCTCCTCAAACCCAGTCCTTCTCTTTTTACAAATCAACCAAATCATTTTTAATGTGTTTTATCCTTAAATAAACTTGTGTTCAAGTATTTTCATTGCTTGGTGGCTGGAATCATTCTTAAGGATGTCAAGCTTTGTACACTAAATAGCATGCTATGATGGAAAAATAAGAAGTAGCAGCAGCAATTGGGCCAGGTGGGCACTCAGGCTGGCCAGAGCGTCGATGCGCTGTTATATTGTCATCCCTGTGTGCGTACAGGGTGTTAGCAGAGCGCTGAGGTGCTGTGTACAAGAGGACACGCCGAGTCCTCTTTTGTAAGTGGTATACAAACACACATTTGCTATAATTAACTACCAAACAGAGGGCCTGCTAAATATATCCCTGGAGTGCCTCTCTTTTTAAGGTCAAGAACCAAATAAAACCCACTTCAAGTTTATTTTGAAGTTGTCTCAGATTTAAGCTGATAGCATTTTTGCATTTTTCTGGGAACTCTGAAAAGCTGAGCAGAAATACTTAGTGTCGTGAGCGTGGGTGTGGGTGTGTTGTCCCACAGGTGAAAGGGGCCAGCATTGTGCTGTCACTGGTCTGAAGAAGTGGGGCGTAGCTGAGTCTACCCTAAGCTGCTCTGTCCTTCCGGTCCCCAGGGAATCACATGCTAGCTTTTCCCAGCAGCCACACACACCATGCAGCTAAGATGACAACTAGTATTGGTGGGAGAAAATACGTGTCTACTTCTGCCTGGACATCTTAAGATCTTTTGGGGAAATGCTGAGCATTGAGATGCATCACGGAATCGAGCCATCTGTTTTAGTTGAGACCCAATACTTCATGCTCACCACGATAGAAACTGATGTCATGTGCGTGTTTTTTGTTTACCGGAAAACCTCAGCCCCACACTCCAAGATCAGAAGGTTCCGATGAGCTCGTGTGCCATTTCCACTCTCACCGTTGGAGGTTTAGTTTTCAAAATCAAACAGGTTGAGTTGAACACAATGATGTCTCATTTGTTGTTTTACTTGAGTTTCTCAGGTGAATTTTAGCTAAAAACATACCAAGGGGAAAAGAGATGTCACTTCTTTGATAACTCCTCTTCATTGATTCACATATCAAAGTCATTAGGAATTACTCAATTCAAAACTACAGGTTTTTTTTTTCTTTTTTCTTTTTTTTTTAGCTTTTTAATTAAATCCCTTCTTGTCACACTTTTATTCTTGGCCTTTGTTTTTCTCACTTGGTTGGTATCCCTCCCTTGTCTTTCATCAGGATAAGCCAGGTGGTGATGCCATCACAGAAAACCCCAGAATCTCGGTGGCTCAAGCAACAGAAGTTTCTTTTTTGTTCGCACAAGTCGACTCTGCTCCTCACTGTCATCCTGGAATGGAGGATGATACGGGTTTTATTATCTTTTGATGCTGCCAGCTCAACATGTGGCTTCAAGGTTCACTCGGCTAGGGGAGAGAACACGGAGAATCACGCCCCAGATCTTCCATGCTTCTGCCCAGAAGTGACACATATCTATTCTGTTCCCATTTCATTGCCCAGTGCAAGTCACATGGCTGTAACTAACTTTCAGAGATGAGGAAGTGCAAACTTCCCCTGTGCTTTGAAGGGAGAAGAACTGGAAGTCAGTGGGGATGGGATGGCTCTCACATTGTTTTTGTGTCGATCACTTCTATCTAGATTAAAGGCAAATGCTTCTGCAGAGCTAAAAACTAGTTTACTTCTGGAAGGCACCCTGACTTCTACTAATTCTCTGCTTCAAACCCAAATCATTCAATACCTCAATACTTTAATTTTCCTATCTGTAAAATGTAAACACGAAGATTTTTTCCAAATATTCTTATGTTACAAATGACACTAGACAAATGAAAGCCATCTGATGGTATATATTAAGATAACTCCAAAGCATTGCCTTTCCTTGCTGCTCAGAAAGATTTGTCTCAGGGTGGGGAGGGGGGAAAGCACATGCTTAGCAAAGGTTAAAAAGGAAGTTATTTGGGAATGTTGTTGACTTGGTATTTGTCTGATATCAAAAGAAACATAACCTTGCGGGCTGACATTTATGATATTTGGGAATTCTATAATCAGTTTCTTAACCAGTAGTAGGTATGTGCTGTACTCAAAATCTAGCGGCAAAACTCAAGAGCACTAATTGTTTAACATTGTCTAATATTATAGCTATTTTTAGAACCATTTGACATTTAGCAAGAGCTTGAAATCTAATAAAATTTCTTTCAACCAAAGGAATTAAGTAATTATCAAAAGGAGACAATCACGTAGGGCCAGGGTAATAAAGAATTACTTCTTTACTAATTCTGAATTAATTAAGCATCTAGCCCAGCCTGAACCTCCCAGCCTCTCTCCCGAAACTCAGGGCATTTCTAGAGCTTGTATTTCATCGCAATTGGTCCTGTCTCGGAGAACACGCTGGTATTTTTTAGTGCCCCGCTGCACTGACGTCTGCGGCACAACCCAGTGAAAAAGAAAATCAAACAGCACCCTCTAGTGTCTGCTTTCTATTTTTGCACGAAACCCATGTACGTATTGAACCACCCCAATCAAATTATGATTCCCACCCCCAACCCCATCGCCACCTTGAAACCTTAGATGCAGAACATTACCAGAATATAGCTTTAGAAAACACATCAAATGCCAAGGACATTTTCTGGAGAACAGTATGAGATTTATTTTTATGCATACAGCAAACATCACTCCAGGAAATACCAGCTCTTGGCATCCCATGCAAATTTTGCCCTTAATATCTACTTCTATAACGGGTTGACAAAAATAGCTGTCAAGAAAAATTAAGTATCTCTTTTAAATGTTGAGAAATAAACAATTCGATCAAGAAAAGCCCATGAAATATTTAGCGGTCTTTTTTCTCCCCCAGCAGAATGTGAAATGCTTTCATATGCATCTACAGCACAACAGCAATAACTCTGGTCTGACTAATGGAAGGCTCTGTTTGTGATGGTTTAATTATGTTTGCTGAAATACGACTCTCATATAAGACAACATCGCCATAGCAGAGGGACAGATCTCTGTGTCTATAGATAGAAATAAAACACAAAAGACTCATCGTTCCATGAAGAACTCAGCAATCAAATTCTATTTGCTAAGGAAACAAATGGAGGAAGAATATTCACTGTATATTTTGTTGTGGGTTTCTGTTTGCACATAGCCTCTAGGTTAGCTATTGTTTTATTCACTAGCATAAAATGATTGTGAAATATTTTAAAAATTAAGATAGTCTACCATTAGATGAAATAACAATACCTTATGCTAATGTATCTTTTTTTTCATAATTAATGCTTTACCACTGTATTTAATATTGTTCAATCCTAAATCATGCTGCATTTTGACAGAGAAATTAGAGGGAAAGTGTTAAGTTAAAGTTATATATGGCAAAAAGGACTAACTAAAGAAAAACAGAAACCCACTCATCTATGTGCTCTTGTGTGTGTAGGTTTATTTAGTCATTTTCAACTTCTAATGAGACATATTAGGATGAAAGTAGCCTTTTGAGCCTTTTAAGAACAAAAAAACTTTGAAACAGAATTCTTGATTTTTTTCCCCTTAACTCTTGAATTTCTTTATGGAATAATTTAGGGTACAAAAATTCACTGATATGTCCCTATTTTAGTTAGGCAAAAATATTTTACTGAGATAACATTTCATTACTTTAAGGCTTGAAAATCTTTGCATTGGCTCTACCCAGAATTAGTAGAATTTTTTAGATTTAAAGACTATATTCACATAGAAATTTGCTAATAAGTCAATGATATAATAATTCAAGGCTGAAGAGGCATGGTTTCTAGTATTTTTCTCTTACCTGCCACAAACATAACTTAATTCAACAGGTCACGCTAGTCCTTAAATGTCGTTTACATAACTACATGGGTCACTCCAATCAAGGAACCGTAAGTGTGTGTTCATTTGCACTTTCTGTGGGTCTGCATTGCTGACTGCAAAACACTGCTAAGGAAAATCTGCATCCATCAGGGGAAGGCGTCTGCTCTTCGGAAGAGTCATGATCAGAAAGCAATTTGGCAAACTAATTCGACAAGGGGAAAATGATTTAATATATAATGTGAAAGCATCTGGGTGGCATACCAGAATATTCAAGGCATAAAATGAGAAAAAGAGCTGTGGATAGCACATAACACAATTTCTGCCCTTAAGAAAAAGCCCTAGATCCTAAATGCTTACTTTGCACTTCCAAGACACAAGAAGTATTCTGAATATTAAGATTAGCAGAAATGAGATGAGTTTAAAGATGCTCAGCTCCTAGAGATTTTATTCGAGTCTCCCATATGTTAGCATGTTCTAATTGTGTTTTTAACCTGGTCCTTTTCACAGACAATTACTTTCATTAGTTAACTTGAGCAGGACTCAAGAACTAAGTTGACAGGGCGAGAAATCTCACCACCTTTATGTTAGACATCCTCTGGGACCACAGTGAACAATGTACCCAATGATTGCAACCAGTTTAAATATATGCTATGTAGGAAAATTGCCCCCAAAGCCCAGGCTGCCTACATCATAGGAAAACATGTCTCCATCATGCAACTCTAAATATTTTTTATTATGAAAATATAGTTTCAGACAGTCACAACTCACGAGGACTTTGTAGTAATTCCAGGCATTATACTCTAGAAATACAAATTCAGCAAAAGTCAACTTTTCTGGTAGCCCCCCAAGGAGGCAGCCCTTACTCCTACAAACAAGAGGTTTCACTGTGGCATCAGCATGAACCATTTCTGTTTCCTCTGCCTTGGGGTTTTTCGTACTTTGCTGGGAGGATGAATCTATAGAACTTTAACATATGGTGATTTGACATATTTCACAATAAGATGGTGTAAGAGGTATGGTTGTGTTTCTAAATCTTCTACCAAAAAGTATCATTCTGGGGTGATCTAATATTATAGAAACAGCAACAAGAACAAAACTCCTCATCTTTGGGTCTACTCTTAGAAACGGGTTCTTGAAATGTCACCTCCAAAATGTGAACTTGAGTCACTGATCACTGACAAATTCTGCTCCTGTTGTTTTATTTGTGTAAACTGAAAGAGCAAGCATGTTCATTGATT